GTACCGTCCAGACAGGTGGCAATGATCGCGTGTATCGTCCTCCGCGAATGATTTCTCGTATACATGACATATTGTAGCGTTCAGAAATGTCTTCCACTGTTCTTTCAACAAAGTTTCCATGGGGACATTTGCGGACAAAATACCCTTTACGCGATGTGCCAGTTCTTCGAGTTTCTTGACGAACCACGAGATGCAATCCGGATTGCGACGACATCGATACGCGGATAACGGCTCGTCGTAGAAACGCACGTAATACGCTATACTAAATACGCTATGACGTTGATACACATACGAACTCGTTTGTTCTTCCCTCGCTGTTTTCTCCAGGGTGCATTCCAAGTCGGCTACAAACGGGACCCGCTCCTTCCTGCAGTAGTTGGTGAAGCTGAGCCATTTGTTGTCATCGTTTGGCAGGATGATGGCGCAGTCATTCATTTTTTGGCAGTCGACGGTATGACTCTTCAGCTTCTCGCTCGAGCTGAAGTAATGCAAACATCTGGAAAAAAACATTATTTGTTATTGGTACATGTCACATTATTCATTATACATTGCATTCGTAGTGTATACTTACCGGTCGCAAATATGTTTTTTGTGTTCCTTTTTGCTCAGCTGCGAGCTGACGAGTCGGGACAAATTCTTGATCCACGCGAAGTGTCCAGCGTTGTCATTTCGCGAATCTGGGATATGCAGCAGGTTGACGTGCTTCTCCATTTTCTGTTCCGTGAGACATATGGGCACGACCACGTTTCCTTCTTTCTTTGTCGCGTCGTCATATCTCTTCTCCACACTATGAATGTTGACCGAGATATTGTTCAATCGTTCAATTTTTTAATTTGGTTTATGCATATTGGAAATTCAATGTCCTGCATATTCACCGATGTATAATGTGAGTACGAAGATTGACGATCTGCGTATTCGTCAGCTGGACATAACGCTGCAACCTCCACCCACGCGAAACATGCATTGTCCTTAGATTGCACGTTGATCACAGACCGCTTCATTTTTATTTCGCGCAGTAACTCGATGTGACATCCCGCACACATCAGTTTGTACTTGTTAACGTTAACGGTCAGATCGAGTATGCGTGAGAGTGCCCATCCGCTCTCTCGCTATCTCGTTTCTGGAATTCTTTCAAGGACGCTAAGGTGGGCTCGATAACATACATCGCGAACCAATTGTCCAGATCGGATGTGGGAAAAAATCTAAAGTTCCTCGTATTGATGTTCTTGTTCGCACATTTATCACCCACCACAAATTCACCGTTGAATACAGTGTTCACTTTTACGCTACCTTGTCTCTTTATAACGCTTCGCACATGCTCGAACACGGTATTCTTCGCATCTTGGAAAATTCGAAGAGGTTATTCGATATAATCTGTACTTACAATCACCCCGGTTGATACGCGACTATCGAACTCTATATCGATTTCTCGCCAAAAAAGTTCCGAATGTCCGGCTCCTGTGTTTACGAAACGTCTGCGCAAAGTTTTTAAAAACATTTAAACCCTCAAGTTGCGCTATACGAACAACCATCGAGTGCGCTGAACCAACCGATAGTCGCAGCTGTTTGGCTCGGCTATGCTGTTCCAATGACTTGAGGTACTCGTCACACCTTGTTCCCACGCGAGGTATTCATCTCGCGAACCTAATCGAGCGGACTGATCCCACAGTTTACGTTCTACGGATGATGATTCTGCAATTTCTTCCAGCAAACGTTGTCAACACTATAACCGCGCACTCTGTTCGTCTTCGATTAAACTATAGAATGTTCTGCTTTGAACTTTTTATATCCCTTCCTTCTTCCAAAAATACACACATCGTTATCAAAATTCGGGAAACTTCCTCGACGATCTCGTCGACACATCTTTTAAACGCATTTCTGGGTCTTAAACTCGTATGGACCCATTGTGGACCCTGTATGCCTAAGTGCATACCTTTCTTTATCTGATACAACAATAGGCTTATAGATCTACGATTTGGTATCAGCAGTCTGGCGTCGACAACTGACAAAAACGTTTTTCGTCAAAATGTGATATTGTAATACGCAGCGCCATTATATTGCAGCGTTTAAAAATTGTAATAAAAAAGTATAAATATTGTACATTTCTGTACTGCATATTATTTTCTCTCGTACTGTGATGCGCTATGGTTGATATTATTTCATCGACGTATGACTGTTTAATTGATTGACTACAACGCTGTGCCAGAGAATTATTATCTAGTTTTGGAAAATATATTGATAGGTGCATTACAAATGTTGATAACTCTGAAAAAAACGAAGGAAGAGATACAACATTGGCAGGAGAAACTTGCCTGTGTTAAAAGGAGCTCCTGCATATTGTTTCATCAGTCGCTCTATAACGACAAGGTTCGACAGTAGCTTCCACATACAGTAAAACCAAAATGTACGGTGTCGAAATGAACGCTAAATAAGCAAATTATTACATGCCTGTTCAACATGAGGATGAGGATGAGGGTTACCTCGCGTGGAAACAAAAGTGCAACGAGTGCATCGAGTCTCCACCATGCAAGAGAAAACATGAGAAGTGAGTATCAATGTGAATTTTGTACTTTGTGCGCACTTTCCTAGTTGAATTTTTAAATATATATAACATTTATTGTATTTTTATAGCATTCCTGTGTCACGTCATGCTACTCGTATTCTGGGACGCAGATACGCTTTGACTACAACGTCGTATAAGTATTTGGAGATTGGAATCAGTGTACAATCTATGCCCACCGTGGAAATAGTCCTCGGTGACAATCGCAGTAATCAATTAATATTACATACAGAAACTTGAAGAAAACTGATGGGAAATCGTGTTGTTATACAATGACTTCTGGAAACGAACAAGCCATCGTACTTTCCGCTACGGATTCGAGATTTAATAGTGGAATTGCGATTAAGATAAATGATTCAAAAATTGCAAAATTAACGTTATCGCCTAAGTGTTTGTATTTGAAACCTGCTACCATGAACATGTTATTTACTTATGAACATTGCATTGATCATATGTATAAGTGGTTGTCCGAAAATACATATCTCGTTAGTTCAAAATTTCAAATTTTTATAAATGTTCTTCGAGAAAAAAATATTACCGAAATGTGCGGTAAAAGCGATGCGTGAAAATGACGGCTTTAGCTATGAGTCACTTATTGATTGTGAGCTGTTGGCATGCGCTTTGAAAAATATCATGTACGAAGCTGTGAACAAATAAGATGTTTATTCTGAAAAATAAATTACTTTGTTATATGATATATAAATCTTTTTTACTTTAGACCACATCCTTTCTTCGAAAAAATATACCAACTACTACATAGTTTCATACCTTAGATTGTGTAGGTCGAACTATACATGACTCGAACTATGCATAATAGATACTGCGTTGAGCTGATAATGAACTTTTTTAAAGGTTCGAGTCTTAGCAACATCTCAGCAGTTTTTTCTCTCGTGACGTCATCATACACACTGTAAGAACCTTCACTAGACATCTACTAGCAACAGACAACGATAGTCTAGGAGGTTGGAGCATTGGATAGTAACCGCCGAAAGCCCAGGTTCAACGAGTCTAGCAACATCTCCCGGCTGTTTTTTCTCTCGTGACATCATCATACACACTGTAAAAACCTTCAGTAGACGTCTACTAGCAATAGGCGACAGTGGTCTAAGAGGTTGGAGCATTGGGTAGTAATCGCGAGGGCCCAGGTTCCGAGCACGTTTCTCTCTGGACATATGTGTAACGTCACGGTCGCCATCTTGACCATAGAATCAAAAAATTCTAGGAAGGAGAGGGGTATCATTAAAAGAGGGGGTATCAATAAAGGGGGTACCAATAAAGGGGAGGTATATCAATAAAGAGGGGAGTATTAATTAAAATATTTAATTAATAAAAAACGGATTTTACAAAACATTTTTGCAATTTAGGTTAGAACCGGCTTAGTTACACTACTAATAACGCTTTATCGCACGAATTTTTGCAAAACTGGATATCTATCTTCTTCTTTGAGTTGCTGATTATGAATCTGATGTCAAATTTTAAAAATTCAAGATGGCAGGTGCAACATGGCGGACACATATAGTGAAACAATCATTTACTTTTGTTGGAACAGTTATGTTGTGGTTTTTGGCTAGATGATTGCGAATTTTCTATTAGGTTTTCGAAAATAATTTTTTCAACGACAATTTTTGAGTGGAAAAAGTATATTTTTTATTGTTTTTCCATAAAAAAAAATATCAAATTCAAATTGATACGTTGCATGACGCATAAAGGATAATGTGATAGTTTTATTTGTTATATTTAGAAGCTTATCTTGTCTTCATTAGCTGGATAACTTTTTCATCTTGCCTTTACTGGTTGGATAACATTTTTATCTTGCCTTCATTAGCTGGATAACTTTTACATCTTCTCTTCACTGGCTGGATAACAGTTTTATCTTGTCTTCATTGGCTGGATAACTTTTTCATCTTGCTTATACTGAAGGTAAATGTAAATCTGATAGAAAATTCGCAATCAGCTAGCCAAAAAAACCACAACATAATAGTTCTAATAAAAGTAAATAATTGTTTCACTATTTGTGTCCGCTATATTACATTCGCCATCTTGAATTTTTTAAATCTGACATCGAATTCGTAAGCAACTCAAAGAACTTCCAAATACTGAATTTCGCATAAATTCGTGCGATAAAACGTTATTAGTGTCAAACTTCCTTAGTAGGTAGTGACCACTTTGACTTTCTATATCTCTGAAATCAATCGTATACTCAATGTAAAACTTTTTTGTGATTAATATCTTATCATGAACTATCATTTCGCACAAAATTTAATTTAAAAATCGGGGACTGAAAAACGGGCACTTTTTGCGGAAGTTCTTTCTTAGATATTATTGCTTAGATATTGATCTCTTAAGTACAAAAGGAAATTTATGTTCAAATTTTAATTTACAAGGTAATTTGAAGCTCTCTTTCTTTTTTCTTTCTTTCAGGGTCAAACCTATGACGCACTTCGCGTTACGATTGAATCGTTGCTGGATGTTCGCCTCGTAATTATCCCTAGGCACGCAACTTTCATCCAGCAGCATTTCTGTCAAATCGATAATTCTGTCTCGACGTATCACCAGGTTCATCATCTTGCAGCACACGCCCAGCACTGACAGAAACAACGAGAACCTCTCGATGAAGATGTTGAGATCCTCGATCAAGATGCAATCGACCAGACCACAAAATGCGAACGAGTGAAGTAAAAGGATCATAACGACAGAGTAAATATTGTACGCCCGATACTTGATTGAAGTCAACGGCCAGCCGACAGGCCGCCAATAGCCGGTGTATGTCAATAACGCGAATGACAAGGGGAGAGTGTGCATCATCTTTGACTCAAGAGACGGGGACTCGAGCGAAGATTCTGAGAATTCTCACGAGTAAAGTATCAGGAGCAAAATACGTCACGCACAGTACAGTTTCTCGAAGTCGTAAGATCGCACGTATTGTGGTCTCCGCAGCTGTCTCTTACCACTATTGTACTACTATCATACTGCATCTCTTTATCGCCTTCAATGTACGAAGAAAAATTACCTCGACTTCCGCTGCGATAGATAATTCATACAGGCATAAGTTTGCCAATCGTCATGAGAGACATTATAATATTACGGAGTTCTGTCATACGTTATTAGCTATCTAGTCGCACTGCCTTTATAACGGTAATTCTGTCTTATTACAGTTATCAAAAATTAACGTTAGCATAAATGCTTTCGTCCATTACCGCAGTCGATACATAGGGATCGATCCGACATTATACAGAGAGCAAGCTGATAAAATAATATCATAATGAAGCAAATTACAAACGTAATTCTATGAATTTTCGTTGAGTGATATGTACATTTTATTCGATTTGAAATCAAACTAACAGTTCTGAAGTCCATCATGCTCGAGGTGCTAGATCACGAATATCAAATTTATCAAATTCTACAGGAAAAATAAGTTACTAGGACATATTGTTTCTCCATCCGAAATAATTTTGCCGCACGGAACTTTCTCCATATATATTATTTTAAATTAAACAGAATGTTTGTATAATAAATTTCAGGACTCCCGAAATAATTCCCTTCGTCTTTATTTTTCTATATTTTTCTATATTTTTTAAGCGGACGAAAAGGATCTGAAACGTGAAAATATCTTCGAACTGACAACGTTACTGCGTGAAGCGGGAAACTTGCTGTGTGAAGTAATACAATGACGATTACCTACTCGTTATTACGGTAAGTAAACTAAAACGCTATACTCGATTGTTCATTAATATACGATGAACGTAGCCTAGCAGAATATGTGACGTTGAGGTCGATATATTGGTGGTTTTTCTTTTATTGATAAGGTCTGTCCCCGTTGATAGATCTCATGATGTATTTTTTCTACGTTGCAATTCCACGTAATATAGTCGTCGGTCATCGTATTACATAACGGTACCTTGAGCTCCTTTTTTCTCCAGCCCGAAAGGACTTTGCGCGGCCGTCTTCAAATAAACATTGCCCTCCCTGCAGAACAGAAAAGGAAAATGGTAGTTGTATGCGTCAGAACACATTTTAACTTTATAACAAGTACTCTGTTCTCCTTTAAATTGATTCTCTAAGGTCTTTTACTTACATGATGTTCGGAGCCCGTGATGCCCTGTAACCCATGAAGATCGGGGTATTATTGTTACAATTGCCAGACAAGAAGTCAGGCCATGAAGAACAATGCACCCCCAGGAAGGATGACTCATTGGTTACAGACTCAGCGTAGAATTCCCAGGAACGATGATGACTGCAGAAATCTGAAACGTCGGGCGGACGACCAAAATGGAATATCATTTATTCGCTCCGCGGTTTTGAAGGTACATCGTGCATACCAGCCGCGCTGAAGACTTTAATCTTTTCCGGACAACCGGGTTGTATACGATGACCGCCGTTCGGGAAGAAATCCACTGTGCCTGTGCTTACGGCAATACCGTAATATGCGTAGTCTGTGTGTATGATGTCCACAAAACGCGCATCATGGTACGAGAGATGGGGCTCCAGGAAATTAAAGAAAGGGCCGGCAGGATCCAAACCTCCCGACCAAAAAGACATTATATATAATTATGCAAAATTATATAATTATATCATATGGTCATGTATTAGGTGTGTGAATTAATTCGGTCCGTTTTTTCTTCCAAAAAAAGACTTTAGTATGAAAAAACATGAAAAAGTACACTAATCAACGTATTTGCCATCGCTTGCTATTATTTTTTCCCATCTGTCTGGCAGTTGTTGCATCCCGTGACGGAAAAAGCGATCCATTCATTGAGTTATTTCTCTATTTCTTCATAATTGTTGAAATGCTGGTCCGAAAGCCCGTGTGCCACCGATCTGAACAAGTGATAATCGAATGGAGCAATGTCTGGTGAATACGGCGGGTGAGGTAAAACGTCCCAGCCAAATGTTTCCAAGGTAGCCTTCATAATCTTCCCAACATGTGGCCTAGCGTTATTGTGGTGGAAGATCACTTTGTCGTGTCTCTTTGCATATTCCAACCGCTTATTCTTTAATATGTTGTTTAAACGGATCAATTGTTATTGGTAAAATTCGGCAGTGATAGTTTGGCTTTGTTTTAATAGTTCATGAGATATGCATATACGAGGGCGGTCCGATAAGTACTTAGCCTCACCGTCCGATGGCGCCACTATCGCAAGAGAAATTTACTATCGTGTAGTACATTCTCGTAGACGGCTACTGTCGAAATTTCAGCCGAATCGGACTCGTAGTTTTGTTTTGACCGCGTGTGGAAGCGGGCGTGTCCGCGGATTTTAAAAAAATGGAAAAAGAGCAATATCGGTCGGTGATTCGATTCTTGTTTTTGGAAGGGAAATCGCGCAGCGAAATCAAAGAGCGTTTGGATGCTGTGTACGGTGACTCTTCTCCTTCGATGGCGACCGTCAAAAATTGGTTTAACGAGTTTCAACGTGGTCGCACGTCGGTTTTTGATGAGCCACGCCCAGGTGCCCCGAAAACGGATACCACGGAGGATAACATGACAAAAATCCACGATCTCGTATTGGCAGACCGCCGATTGAAGGTGCGCGAGATAGCTGAGACAGTAGGCATCTCAAAAGACCGCGTGGGTCATATCCTGCATGAAATTTTGGGCATGAGAAAGCTGTCGGCGCGATGGGTGCCGCGTTTGCTCACTCCGGACAACAACCGTGAGACCACTTCAGAGCAGTGTTTGACGCTGTTTAAGCGCAATCCGAAGGAGTTTCTGCGTCGTTTCGTGACCATCGACGAAATATGGATCCACTGGTACACACCAGAGACCAAGGAACAGTCGAAACAGTGGACTTCACCCGGCGAACGTGCTCCGAAGAAGGCGAAGACTGTTCTATCGGCCGGAAAGGTGATGGCCACCGTTTTCTGGGATTCACAAGGTGTGATCTACATCGACTACCTGGAGAAGGGCAAAACGGTCACAGGGCTGTAATATGCCGAATTATTGGGCCGATTCGACGCCGAATTGCAGAAAAACGGCCCCATTTGGCGAAGAAAAAAGTGCTCTTCCACCATGACAACGCACCGGCTCATACCTCCGCCCTCGCCACGGTCAAATTGGTCGAATTGGGCTACGAACTGCTGCCCCATCCACCGTATTCTCCAGATTTGGCCCCGTGTGACTTCTTTTTGTTTCCAAACTTGAAAAAGTCACTCGCCGGGCAGAAATTTGAGTCGAATGAGGAGGTCATCGCCGCCACGGAGGCCTACTTTGCAGACCTTGAGAAAACGTATTTTTCAGACGGGTTAAAGAAGTTGGAGCATCGCTGGGTCAAGTGTATCGAGCTAAAAAGAGACTATGTTGAGAAATAAATCGCCACTTTTCCAAAATTTTCGTTTTTCTTTTGTAGGCTAAGTACTTATCGGACCACCCTCGTACTACATCCTTCTGGTCCCACCATGTACAGAGCATTACTTTCTTGTCGTGAATATTCCGCTTTGGTATCGATGTGGATGGTTTTGCTGGGTCGCTAATAGATTTCCTTCGCTTGGGATTATCGAAATATATTCACTTTTCGTCTCCAGTCACAATACGATGCAAAAAACCTTTTCTTTTTTTCTGGCAAGCAAGATTTCAGACATGACTTTTGGCCTCTCGATGTCTCTTTCTTCCGTTCAGTCCGTATGACACCCATCTTCCTTCTTTGTAAATCTTTCCCATGGCTGCCAAACGCACAGAAATGATTCGCACAGATATTGATCGATCAACATTCAATAATTGCGCGAGCTTATGTTGCGATTGACACGGATCTTCATCGATTAGCGCCGTCAATTCCTCGTCCTCGAACTTCTTCGGCTGACCTGGACGAGATTTGTCATCGACACTGAAATCATCACTTTTGAAACGTCGAAACCATTCTCTGCATGATTTATCGGTGGGAGCACTTTCACCATAAGCTTCTACGAGCATTCGATGAGTTTCAGCGGCTGTTTTCTTCAAATGAAAACAGAAAATGAGAACTTCCTGGAAATGATGCTTTCTTGGCTTGAATTTCGACATTTTCGAATCAGATAAACACGATGTTATTGTTACAAACCCAAACGTTTATCAACTGGATATTATTGCCAGATATCAAAACTAAAATATAAAGCCTTTTGCATACATTAGTGGTTAGAAAATTACATAGTACAGCAATTGACCCCCAGATGGACCGAATTAATTCACACACCTAATAATTATACAATGTCTGCCAAAAGTTCCGGAACGGCTAATTATTTAAAAAAATAATGATTGTTCAAAATAATGTTTGAAACAAAAGTTGTAACGCTTGAAAAGCTATCAGATATTGATAATTGTTTGACCTTGGAATGACCTTGAGAAACGTTATCAAGGTCGACATAAAAATCTTAAATGGAACCCCCTATCTTTTGTTACATATTCTTATAGATGACGTTGAGACGTTTCCGAAACACTGGTTACAAATCTCTTTCCATAAGAACTTTTTCAGATATAGGACTTGAAAGTTAAAATACCACCGGCATTATCATTACCCAAGGTGTACCACGTGGAGGTTGCACGGTCGGATTTATACCTCTTGTGCATGAGTGTGTGTGTATATGTGCGTGTGCGTGTGCGTGTGCGTGTGCGTGTGTGTGTCACAGCAGAGACCCCACGGTTCGTCACTGCGGATTAGTATGCAACGTAGCGACTGAGCGTCCGCGCTAGGTAGTGTTTTATCCCCACCACTCTCGCGTAGAGCACTCAGGCCCACGCACGCTACGCACACAGAGCTAGCGCAGGTTCAGTAAATTTGCTAAAGAAGATTGGTGCGAAGTTAATTTTGTCTCAAAATCAGAAATATCAACCTGTGGATATAATCTATCTTACACTAATATTTTATTCATTCTTCATTTAGTGTAATTGTTTTCACTTTGGACAATGCGTTTAACTGATAAGGTAAAAATTATTATTCTTATGATGCAAGGTTTTGGTGATAGAATTAGATCTATCAAGAAGTAACTATTTATTTAACAATACATATATTAATCGTCCTCCAATTTCAAAATCATCTTTTTTCGGACTGTTTATCGGACTGTTGATCGTTTTGAAAGAACTGGATCAATTGAAGACGAACCAAGATCTGAAAGACCTAAAGACGCCACCAACGATGATAAAGCTCTAGAGATTTTGCTAAATACCATAGAAAAACCTCATACAACGCTTACAAAATTATCTCAACAAAGTGAAACTAGCATAACATCGGTTCGTAGAATTCTATAAGAAGATAAGTACCACCCGTATAAAATGCATTTGGTACAGGAGCTGTCCGAAGACAATTTTGACAAGAGAATTGAATTCTGCGATACGATAATGACACTATTTGATTATAATAATCAATTATTTACTTGGATTTGTTTCTCCGATGAAGCTGCCTTTGAATTAAATGGATCAGTTAATCGGCATAATTTGAGGTAGTGAACTGATGAAAATCCTCACGGGATGAGAGAAAAAACTGCCGAGATGTTGCTAAGACTCAAACCTTTAAAAAAGTTCATTATCAGCTCAACGCAGTATCTATCATGCATAGTTCGAGTCATGTATAGTTCGACCTACACAATCTAAGGTATGAAACTATGCAATAGTTGATATATTTTTTCGAAGAAAGGATGTGGTCTAAAGTAAAAAAGATTTATATATCATATAACAAAGTAATTTATTTCTCAGAATAAACATCTTATTTGTTATCTGCTGTCATACGCAATATCCCCAGAAGATTAATGTTTGGGCCGGAATATTCTCTAATCGTATCATAGGGCCATTTTTTCTAGACGGGAATTTGACAGCAGAAATTTACTTGAATTTGTTGCAAAACCGAGTTGTACCAGCTATCCGAAACATTGTTGGAGATGCTTTTGAACATGTTTGGTTTCAACAAGATGGGGCTCCACCTCATTTCGGTTTAAATGTTCGTTATTTTTTACATGAAATTTTTGTTGGTCGATGGATTGGTAGAAGAGGTACGATAGAATGGCCGCCAAGATCTGATCTAAATCCGTTAGGCTTTTTCTATTGGGGACATTTTAAAAGTATGGTCTATGAAACGAAACCTAGAAACATAGACAATCTAAAAGAAAGAATATTAAATGTTTCAGATTCCATTACACCAGAAGTTTTGAGAAATGTTTTAAATACATTTTATGTTCGTTTGGGACACTGTCAAGCAGCACAAGGCCATCAATTTGAACATTTAACAGGATAATATGCACACATACTACCCTCGACAGAAATAGACCGCATACACGCACCCTACACACACACACACACACACACACACACACAGCAGAGAGGGTTTGGAGTCAATAAATATTACAGCAGTGACGAACCGTGGGGTCCTTATCTCTGCTGTGACACACACACGCACACAAGAGGTATAAATCCGACCGTACAACCTCTACGTGGTACACCTTGGGTAATGATAATGCCGGTGGTATTTTAACTTTCAAGTCCTATATCTGAAAAAGTTCTTATGGAAAGAGATTTGTAACCAGTGTTTCGGAAACGTCTCAGCTACAAGAATATGTAACA